CTCTCTCTCTCTCTCTCTCTCTCTCTCTCTCTCTCTCTCTCTCTCTCAGTAACTATAGCAAACAAGTGCTACCTGTAGAAACTGCTTTCTTGGACATTCATGAAGCTGCTTGGGATGCTGGCTCTATGATGTGACAACATAAGCTACAACGTCACTGTTTCTAACCTAAACTATAACCCCCTCTCCCTGTCTGGTGTGGAAACTAGCACTGTGCTCTTCCAGGCCACCATCACTGGGCCATGCACTGTGAAAGACAGAGGTGTTATGAGTCTTGCCTGTCGCCAAGGGACCTCTCCTGAAACAGGTTTCCAACATCCTGTGCATCACACTCCATCTCAGGGCATGTTCCTGCGGTCTTAGAAAAGTATCCACTGCCCCAGCACAACTGGCTGGGACATAACCAGCTCCTTTCTCCAAGGCTTGCACAGCCACCAGGCCCCAAGCCATCTGCAGTGTCTGAGGCATCTGAGCGCACACTTCCGTCTGTCTGTGCAGAATATGGAAAAGGAAGGGCTCAGGTGACCAGAATTTTATTGACCACACTGTGATACAAACTGCTGTAGTTATGACTCAGATTTGGGAAGAGGGACAGGCAGGGTGTCACCTGGAGATCATCTTTGAGCACTCTGGCTGTTCAGAAGAGGCTGAGGGTCAAAGAGCCCTTTCCACCTATCAGAGCCCTAGAGTGGGGGCAGAAGAATGAAGGGGCTGCTGTGTTCAGAGAAGAGTCAGGCTCCACCGTGGAAGCGGTGATACAAGGGACAGCCATGCCTGTCACCTTGAGAATTTCTCTGAAAGCAGTTTTCAACAACCTGTGTATCACAATCCATCTCAGGGTGTCTTCCTTGGGATCTCACCAAATTATACCACCACCATACCACAACTGGACATTACAAAAACCTTTCTGGAAGCCTATCATAGCCACTAGGTCCCAAACCATCTGCATTGATTCAGGTGTGTGGAGACACACATTGGTTTATCTGTGCAGAAGATGGTAGAGGATGGGGTGCAGGCCACTGGAATGTCATTGGCCACAGAAACTGCCGTGATTGTGACTCTGAATTTGGACAGAAGACCAGAGTTCACTTAAAGACCACCTCCAAGCACTCTTGCTATTCAGAAGAGGCTGGGGTTCAAATGGCCTCTTGCGTCTGACAAAGCCCCTAGAGTGAGGACAGGAGGATTTAAGGAGCTGGTGTGTTTGTTAGGAGCAGAGTGGGCCTCCAGGCTAGGACTGGTGATGCAGGGGACAGCCAGGGTTGTGGGGTTCCATTCAGTTAGCACTGTTGCAGGACAAGTGACCAGGAAAGACACCCCTAGTATGGCCAATTCAAAGGTTTTGAAAAGAGAGTTCATGCCAGCAGCCTCATGGGCAAGGTAGCCACTGTCATGGAGTCAAAAGAAGGCCACAGAAGCCCAGGGGATTGTTCCCAAGGGGACGGATATGGAGGGACATGGCAGACTTCAAGGAGAAGCTGAGGATGCTCCTACCACCCACACACCACCACAGGGCACGATTCAGGGACTCAGGCCCTGAGACTGGGAGCATTTTGGAAACAATTTGTGGCATGTCCCCCATCTTAGCCCTCATAGCCAGGAACATTGGTCTTGGGAAGCTACTCGGAGGAGCAAGATCTCCAGGCCCTGTAAGGCTCAAAGGTACACACATACCTCCTAGACCTGAGCACCACCTACTCCAACTCTAGGAACTTAGTCAAGTACTGTGACAGAGCCTTTAGTGGTTGGGGAAAGTCTCTTCACTGTGTTGACTGGCTACATTTCAAATATAGCATCTCATGGACCCCAGACAACCCACATTCCTACTACACTTCCCTTGTAATTATGCCTTCAGAAAAGGACTTTTCCACACTTTCTGTAACTTTATATTCCCTATGCCTCAACTCCTCATGTTGAGTCATACATCTTTTAAAAAGGGAAGACTTAGTCTTTAACCCTTCCCCATCACATGTACCCTCCATCCACTGTCACCTTCATACAATGGTGTCATAAAGATTAGAGCAGTATTACCATTTTGGTTGATATCACACCCTTCTGAGGTAAGCCATTTGGTTTATATGATGATGCTTCAATCTCAGAACAGCTTTATGTGTTTCCTGGAGTTAGTGATCAACTTGATTTTTTGGTTCATTTACCATGTTTATCCGCAAGCCAATTTTCATTCTTCAACTTCCTCCACTCAGGCTTCTGCCCAGACCAGCACACTAAAACTCCTGTTATCAAGGTCATAAATTTGTTGCCAGACTTGGTAGGCAAGACCAAATCCTCATTGACAATACTCCGTGAGCAGCATTCAACATGGTTGCCTTGGTCCTTTCCTTGATGCACACTTCCTTTGACTCCAGTGATATTACATTTACCTGGCTTTTCTTCCCTCATACTGGACACCTTCCCAGTGTCCTTTCCTGAAGTTACACCTCCCCAATGACACCTCCCTGTGGATATCCACTGGGCCTCTGAGACTTAACATAGTCAAACTGGACTCTGGATTCTCTGCTGCCCCCTGCATCTCCCAAGCTTCCCCAACTCTGCCATCAACCACCATCCCACCAGCTGCTCCTCCCACACCTGACCCTCACCCTACTCACCCTGCTCCTTCTCTTCCCTCACCCTTGTCAGTCCTACCTCTCACATGCATCACAACTCTATCTGCTTCTTGCCAGTCCTGCTTTGGATCCTACCATTTCCTTGTCTCAGAAGGCTCTGTTCCCCTCGTCTCTGCCCAGGATCCTCTTAACTGGCTTAAATGGGCCCTAGGGAGAGGAACCAGTTCTAAGATTATGCCTGCAGGGATCATTTCTAGAGTTCATTCCTGGAGAAGTTTCTCTGATCTTGAAGAGTGCTGGAAATCACGGGGAAGAGGCCCAGAGTTCCCTCCTGAGGGACATCTCTTGGTGTTGCTTTACTGAAACTGCCTTTTACCATTGATGACTGTTCTTCCCTTTAGAGGGGTGACAAGGGAGAAATGCAAATCTCCAGATTAAACCCCAAGTCTCTTAACTTTTTTTAAAGTACTCCCCTCCACTTTAGTCTAAGTTGTGTGAGAACAGGTAACAACAGTTCATTTGAAACATTCATTTCAGCAGACCCTCTGCCCCTCCCCACCCTCCTGTGTCTTTCTCTCCTCTTATGTGCACCATCTAGTGGCCCTGCCAGTGTCCCAGGGGCTGGACCTCATTTTCAGATGGACTCTGCTGCTAGCAGCAGCACAGCTTTCTCTCTTCCCCCTTTTCCATTTGTCTCACCCGAGGACTCTCCACCATGAAGACACAGGAATGGTCTGTAACTGCGAAGAGGTGAACAGCAGGGACCAAAATTATAGGAGCACAAGAGGGCACCTCGTGTGCGATGGAAACATTTGAGGAACATGCTGGTCCTGAGTCAGACAGCTATGGAACTGAGGTGGATCCCACCATGATTAAGCAAAGAGTCAGCACCCTGGTGCTACCTGTCATCCAGCTCCTCGATGGCTGAGGCAGGAGGATCTCAACTTCCAGGCCAGCCTTGGCAACTTAGCAAGACCCAGACTCAAAGAAAAATGAAAGTTCTGAAGATTCAGTTCAATGGTAGAGTCCTTGCCCAGCAGGTTGGGGGCCCTGGAGTGGATCCCCAGCACTGCAAAAAACCCACTGCTCCTGCCTTGATGCATGTGGCATCTCTCCTCACCATTGCCCAGGGCTCTGAGATCATGGCCAGGAGGAAGTTGACACCAACAACCCTTAGAAATGTAAGAACAGGCACCTCTCTTATTCTCTATGGCTCTTACTAATCTACAAAAGCCGTTTCTTTTCTTTTGGGGGAAGGTCATACTAGGGATCAAGCCCAGACCTTGCACATGCTGAACACCTGCTCAACCACTGAGCCACACCCCAACTCCTCTAACATAATGTGTTTCTTGCTACTAAAATATATTATTATTTAGCTTTGTTTCTAAACTCTTTTGTTAGGTTTTCCTATCATAGCAAAATACCTGAGGCATTAACTTATAAAGATTTAAGTTTGATTTGGCAATGGTTTCACGGGTTCCAGGCCATCACCGGTTGGCCTTGTTGCTTATGGTCCATGGCGAGGCAGCATATACTGGCAGAATCACAACGTGGAGCAAAACCACTCACCTTTGGCTAGGAACAAGGATTGGCCAGGTTTCCACTGTCCCCTTCAAGGACATGCTCCCAAAAACCACAAGTCCTGCCACTAGGCGCCACCTCTTTAAGATTGAATCACATCCTAATAACACCATCCTAAGTACCTAGTCTTTTAAAACAGGAGGCTTTGGTGACCCTCAGCATCCACACAATAGCTTTAGCCCTCTGGAACATGTTCACTGTTTCCCACCTCTCTCCTCCACCTAAACATAAGCCCCCTGAAGTGGGACACTCAGCTCACGTACCCTACGTATGCTCTTTCCTAGTCCCTGCCAGTTCTTGGGCACTACCCACTACCTGCAGGCCCAAGATGGGCCATGATGATACCTGACTCCTCTGCATTCTCATTCATGGCCATATTGCCACACTTTGGGCAGTTCTGGATGTAGCAATGGGAGGTGAAGGCCAGAAGGCCAAGGAAGAAGGCGGGCAGCATTGTGTTCGGCATCCTGTCACTCTTGGTAGGGCACTGGGCACAGCGCTGCTGTGCTGGCTGGTCACTATTTATGCGATCACATGTTTCCTCAGAGGAGATTTGGTATCCACCTGTGTCATCCTTAAAAAGCAAAAAAAAAAGAAGGGCAGTAAAACACTATGTACCAGAACCACCCCTTTCTGTTCCCAATAACCTAGGCAAGTCAACGGAACACTGGAAGCAGGCCCAACCTGAATGTCCATATAGGTATTATCATGAAGAGCATCATTTCTCTCTCTCTCTCTCTCTCTCTCTGTCTCTCTCTCTCTCTCTCTCTCCCTCTCTCTCTTTCTCTCCATACACCACACACACACACACACACACACACACACACATACATCTTTCTCTAGCACTGGAAACTATAGAAAAATGGTGTTATCTGTACAAATTGCTTGTCAGACATTCACAAAGCTGCTTGGGATGTAGGCCCTATGATGGGGCAAAGTATGCTATGATGTCACTGCTTCTGACCTAACCTATAACCCCCTCTCCCTGCCTGGTGTGGAATCCTGCACTGTGCTCTTCGAGGCCGCTATCACTGGACAATCCACTATGAAATACAGAGGTGCTATGAGTCTTGCCTGTCGCCAAGGGACCTTTCCTGAAAGAGGTTCCAACATCCTGTGCATCACACTCCGTCTCAGGGTGTGTTCCCTAGAATATCAGCAAACTATCCCACTGTCCTAGCACAACTGGACTGGATCATCATCACAAATCTTTCTCCAGAAGGCTCCCACAGCCACCTGGTCCCAGACCTTCTGCAATAATTCAGGTGTCTGGGGACACATGCTGGTTTGTCTGTGCAGAAGATGGTAGAGGAGGGCACAGGTCACTGTAATGTCACTGGCCACAGTGTGAAAGGAACTGCTCTGATTGTGACTCTGGATGCAGGGGGACAGGGACAGACTGGGTGTCCCCTAGAGTCATATCCAAGAATTATGGCTGTCCAGAAGAGGCCGGGGGTCAAAGGGCCTCTTCCTGACACAGACCCTAAAATAAGGGCAGGGGATCTAAGGGCTGCTGTGTTCAGATCAGGGTCAGGCTCCAGCCCAAGAGTGGTAATAGAAGGGACAGTCAGGTTTGCAGGGTCCCATCCAGTTAGCCCTATTGCAGGACAAGTGACCAGGAAAGACACACCCATTGTAGCCAGTACTGGAAAAAAACAAGGATCATTTCATGACTGTCCTGTCTAGAGCATCCCTCACTCCCACCACTATGATTTTCTAACTTGGTTCTATATGAATACATCACATGGCACCTACTACAATTTTGCAAGTTTAAAAGACTACAAGTTTTGTTTTTGTTTGTTTTTGTGCGTGTCCCTGTAAAATAAAATTTCCAAGGAAGAAATGTCTTCATCTCTTATGTTCAGTACTATGGCCCCTCTACTGATAGAGGGCTTGCCACATGGGGGGATTTCCAATGCATTATCGCAAGAGGGAAGGAGAGGGAGAATCCCTGGGAACCAGTCTCAGCTCTCCAGGGAGTTGCTATATGACCTAGGGCTATATGACAAGCAAGCCACACTTGTTTCCATGGTTACTTATCAGGTGTACCAACCCCTCTTCCTAGCTCACTGATACCTTAAAGAAATCGGATAATGGTGCTAGAAAAGGTTAAGGTGTTCTAGGATGCTTTCCTAACTAAATGTTGCAAATATCCAGATTAAACCCCCCATCTCTTAACTTTCTTTAAGGGACTCCCGTATTACCCTTAGACCAGGTTATCGGAGAATAAGTAACAGTTAACTGATTTCAACAGACTGTCTGCCCCTCCACGTTCCTCCCCACCCCTCCTGCATATTCTCCCCTCTTCTCTGCACCATCTACACTGCCAGTGTCCCAGCAGTGTGGACTTCATTTTCAGAAACTAACCATGGTGGCTACTGGGGCTATGAAAGTTGTTTCTCTCCTCAAACCATTCTGGGGTGGGCACCAGGAGGATTTGTGATGGAAAGGAACTAGAGGTGTCTGAAAGTGGAGAAAAGGAGATCTTATTCAAATTGGCCATGGCAATGCCTGTGATACGCACAGGGTATTTAAGGAAAGCTGTCAAAGAAACCAGGAGTGTATCAGTCAGCTTTCAGCTACTGTCACAAATTTCCTCAGATCACCAACTTACGAAGAGAGAAAGTTTATCAGATCTCATTTTTCACTGGTTTCAGTCCATGGTCAGTTGCCCAATAGGTCTTGGGCCTGTGACCAGGAAGGCATCAAGGTGGGGAGGAGGAGAAGGGGCAAAGTCATTCCCTCATGGCCAAGAACCATTGAGAGGAAGAGGAGGGGCTGGGTCCTAATAAGCCCTTCAAGGGCAGACCCCAATGAAAGGAAGACCTGTCACCAGGCCCTACCTCTTGAAGTTTCCACCCCCTCTCAAGAGTGCCAACCCTGGGACTAATCCTCTAGCACATAGGCATTTGGGAACAAGCTGTAGCAAGGAGCTTGGAGTTGGGGAAGGATGATATTGTCTACATTTGATTATGGTTGGAAAATTATTAAAATGAATATGTTTATCAAAACTCCCAGAACTTGGGCTGGGGATATAGCTTAGTTGATAGAGTGCTTGACTCACATGAACAAGGCCCTGAGTTCAAACCCCAGCACCACAAAAAAAAAAAAAAAAAAAAAAAAAACTCACAGAACTCTACATCAAAATCCGTAAATTTCACCTGATGCAAATTATACCCTAAAACAAGGAAAGCTAGGTGCAATAGCCTCTTCCTTCAGTCCCAGCTGCCCAGGAGGTTGAGGCAGAAGCATTGAATGCATTAATTTAAAACCAGACTAGGCAAAGTAGTGAAATCCTGTCTCAAAAAAAAAAAAATTGGGGGTGGGGGGGACTGGGGTTGTGGCTCAGTGGTAGAGTGCTCGCCCAGCTTGCGTGATGCACTGGGTTGGATCCTCAGCACCACATAGAAATAAAATAAAGATACTGTGTCCACCAATATCTAAAAAACAAATTATTTCTTAAAAAACTTTTTTAAAGAAAGACCAGAAGGTGTAGCTTGGTGTTAGAGTTCTTGCCTAGCATTTGCTAGACCCTGGATATCTTTATCAAAACTCACAGACCTCTACACCTAAAACAGTGAATTTTCCTCATGTGCTAAAGTAAAGGCTTCGCCGTCATTTTTCATGCCTCTAGATGTCTCTCCTTCCTTCTGGCATCCCTGTCTCCTCTCTCTTTATTCTCCCCATCATTACTTCTTTCTCTCTGGGGAAGAATTTCGTTACCCTAACCCATTCTCTAGAGGGCCACCAAAAGCCTCTGCTCTTTCCCCTCCCCCTGGCCCAACTGACACTGTCTTTGGCTTATATATATGACTCTTCTATCCCCAATACCACTTACCCCTTGTCTGGGGTGG